AGGAATAGATGTATACTCCACTCAGAGTGAAGGTCTGGAAGATCTTGATTAGGTTCCTTGACTGCGGGGAGGATGGGAGGATCTTTTATGGTGCATAGGTTAACATGTAATTTTTGTAGATACTGAAAAGCGATATTTCAATACAACTACTAATTGCAGTGTCTATATTATCCTTCTGTAAAATGCATTCTAGAAGACTTTAATGCTAATTATATTTGTCAAATCAAACATTAAGCAACACTTCAAAATACTGAGAATTAAGTTCCAGTCAAGCAAATTAAATATATTGATGAAAACCATTCTTGTGTCTGAAGTTCAGCAAGTAAAAAATCTTTTTTGACACACACCCCAGAAATTAATTTCTTGGTCTGTTGATAATTTTCAATGAAAGTGAAATATGTCTGAAGAAAGCTATTAAAGAATTTGTATCTAGTGCATGGGGAGGAACTGTAGAGGTTAAATAGCGGCTAAGAACAGGGCCGCTGGGAGCCATAGCATCTTCATCTGAAATGCAAGTAAATGGATTTGATGAATCCAGAGGTTGCAGTTGGAAGTACATTCTTAGCAGATACTCTCAAGTTTATGGCTAGACACAAGTACATCACCAGGGAGAGGAAGGAGAAGTTTCTGAAGCTGTTCTGAAAGTACGAATTTAATAAAGCAGTGTTCTGGATGCTGGATGATAATGATGAGTGTCAGATATATCTTGTTTGGTTGTTGCCTGCATTTATCTCATCGGTAATTCTTATCCATGAGAGTTGAAGTTGCATTCCTAAATTGAGTAAAGCCGTAAATAACATCTTCAGTGACGTTGCCCCTGTTTTTTTTTTTTTTACACTGCTTGGGCAGTCCGTTTTAACTGTTGTGTATAAATTACATCCATTTGTGCACACCAGCTTCCAATATGATTAAATTTGTAGTACTCAAGCCTTAGAGATGCAGGCTGTGAGGTCAGAAAAATATGTTTATGTTGTTCAGTCTATTCGGATTCTGCCTTACACCCACCAGGATGACTGATGTTTTAGGAGAGGATTTTTTCTAAAAGTCATTCTGTACCACCTTAAAACCCCATAACCATATTTCAGATCGTTCTCTCCAACATTTAAACATTTTTATTGAAATTATTGTAATAGGTGTGACTAATGTTATCAATAGTCTTTTTTAACTGAAGTATAATTTTCATAATACTCAGTTTGCAATGTAGTACTACATAGTGTGACATTGATTCCTGTAGCAATGATCTGTAGTCTTCAGCTATGTATTCACTGTTAATGGGGATGTTCTGTAGAGTAAATTAAGCATCATACTGTGGTATATCCTCTTTAAATGTTACATCTTGTCTGTAAGTCAGCATTTTAATTCTCTGCTGAACTCGATACAAGGGGGAAAAAAAAAAATCTTTCTTTTTCTTTCAAAGTTGCGGATTCCAACATACCGTGACAAGCCTGGAACAACGCCAATAGTACAGAATATGCACCAGGTAGAGATTAGATACTTCTGTTGTATATAGTCCCAAGACAAAGCTAAATACCTGCCTTCATTCTTCAAACTTGTTCATAAAAGATTGGTAGCAAATCCTCATATACTTTGATAAGAATGAAGTCCATAGTCTTTGAAACTTTTAGTGGAGGAGTCTAGAGTTGGATTCTTCATCGAAAAGGTATTCTAACCCAGTTACCCCAGGTACTTTAGAAGAGGGATGTCCAGCTCCTGGAAGAGGATAGTTGGCTGACAAAATTACTGAACTTTAACATACTTTTAATGGGGGAAACTATACTAAGCCAGGGTTTTTTGAGGATGAAACCTGAATTAAAAATCTTTAGCCATAGAAGAGTGGATATAAAACAAATCTATCTGTGCCTTCACATGCTTTTTGACTGTTGTTTAAAACAGCTTCAGTATTTTATATTTTTCCTGGACTGAAAGTCGCATGCCTATACGTGGTGTGTGTGTTGGGGGAAATCTTGCTTTTAGCACACAAGAACAGTTACTTGTGGAGATAATGTAGTACATACTGCAGTAGTACAGTAGTGGTAAATAATTAGGGTATATACCATCTACTGTCTGTAAGCATTTAAGGGAAATTATTTCATTTAATACCTAGGTATTCTGATGACTAAAAAACAAGCATTGCGATGTCTTTTAGGCAGATGCTCAGATCTCCATGGCTTTACCGACTGTTCATGAAGTAGATCTTTTCAGGTAGGAGTTTGGACTGATTTATTCTTAATTGTGTATTCCCACAGGTCAAAGATTTATGACAGTTCTGTAACACATTTCTCATAGCTTGCAAGCTAACATTTATTAGTATAGTTTTTCATATTCTTTTTCCGTAAAGCTGGCTAAAAAACAATTTGGATAACATGCAGGCTGGAACTGCAATAAATAGGCAAGTTCATTAAATGTTCCATTTTACAAGAGTATTTTTCAAATTACTATAAAATACTACTGCAAACTTCCTTTTTATCCAGTTCTTAATCAAGTACATATTTCTTCTGGTTATGTTAAGTGTATTAAAATACCTCAATCTATTTTTTAGGTGTTTCTGTCCAGTGTTCTTTCACATTCAGATGCTTTGGGAACTAGTACTGCTAGGAGAACCACTGGTCGTGATGGCACCATCACCATCAGAATCTTCAGAAACTGTGTTGGCACTTGTTAGGTAAATGTAGTGGAGCTTCCTAACTAATGGCCAAGTGAGTTATTGTAGATTGCAGCTGAGTGCAACTTCATTTGATCTGAATATAACTAAGTATTACAAATTTTAGATTTGCTTGTTTGTTTCATGAAATTTTGCACTGTATATGTACAACAAGCTTATGCTTTTTCTGCCTTGCAGTTGTATTTCACCGTTAAAGTACTGCAGTGATTTCAGGCCATACTTTACCATACATGACAGTGAATTCAAAGAATATACAACTCGCACACAAGCCCCGTAAGTAAATCAAACTTTGTTGTGAAGGTGTTGCTCAAAGCTACTCGTAACCATAAATTTGTTTTAAGATACTGCTTAACTATTCTGAATTTCTATCATAAGAGAATACACTTAGACTCTTTATTTATAAGATTTATCTTACAGAGTGCAGTAATTAGCTGTTTTAAGTTTTCACTCCAGTTAGATAGGATAAAGAAGTTAGGAAACATCATAATTAAACTACACTTGAGCTTCATAGGATACTTGTGTACAGAATAAGTAAAACTGCAAATATGAAAGCAAGAAAAGTTTTCCTTTTCCATAAGGTTTTGTCTGTGCAATACCAGCTCTGTAGTAGCTCCTTGGGAAATTGTTCTATAGTTGTTTTTATTTTTAAGCAATTGCTAAACAAAGTGACTTGTAGAATTCAACATCCATACAGCTGTTTTGTAAAGTTAATCCCATCGGTGTCCTAGTTGAGACAATAATTTAAAAAGTAAATATCTCTTCACTAAATTTGTTAGAAAAATGTGGTAAATAATTCAGAAATTAAGATTATTTTTTTTAAGGAGCGTGAGCCTACAAAACCAATTCTGTTTGAAACTGCTTTAAAGACACACTTTTCCCCTTCATATATATTTTTTTTTTTAATCCTACTCTTTGAGAGCATACACCTCCAATGTTTCTTATTATACACTATTTAAATGCAATTTGATTTGGGTATGGAGTACATGTGTTAGATTCGCTGATCTTTTTATAAACAATTTTTTTCTAATGTCTGAGCAGGCAGTGGTTGTTTTGGGCTTTTTGGTTTTTGTTGGTTTTTACTGTATTTTTCCTCTCAAAGTATTGCCAGAGACACAGCAGCGGAAAAACATACAAACATAGACATTATGTTTCAGATTGTATTCCATGGGAATGGTTATGCAGTATGTAATTTAATTTCTAAAAATAATTCTGTGAAGAATTTGGTTCAACTTTAGTAACCCATGTTTAAAAATTGCATCTGCTCCTCTGTAGCAAAATAGAAAGGTTGAAATAGAGCTAGAATTGCTCTGGCTTTCTTATGGGAAACAAAAAAGCCTATTTCAGTCTTTCCAATTTTTAAAGCAGTGGCTCTAAGAAAGGGGAACCCAGATGGTGCAGATTCTGTGTATTTTATTACCTTTAGCAAGAGGGGAGCAAGCGGTATTTTTCATCTTGATGTTTTGATTTATCCTCCCTTTTCAGAAATCAGTGGTTTAAAACCAGAATTGGTTCTGATAAATATGATAGATTAAGGCTCCTAAAAGTAACTAAGTAGCTTACCAAGTCTTGTTATTATATCAGCAGTAGCAGTGAAACAAGATTCCTCATGATTTGCTACCAGTTTACCTTGACCTGGAGAATTTTTTCCTCTGTGTGTGTAAAGGAAAGCCTTACTTGACTTTAACCCTCCAGTTAGTAAAAGAATGTCAGTTTGCATAGATTGGTCCAAACCAATTGTGTGTGAAACTTGCTTTTTGGTTTCCACAAAATAGGCATAAGAAGATTTAATAGTTGTGTTAAGTTAGGCTAGACTTGATCCATTCCTGGGGAGAAGGAGAATGCCTGTTGTTTGGGTTCTTTTGAGGCTCAGTTTGTTTCTTATGTTGATTCTTATGACATGACCATGAAAAGAACATAAGATAAAACAACGTAAGTTGATTTTTCAGAGTACAACAAAGGAATCTGTTGAGACCTTTTTACGGACAGTGGTCTTTGTCATTGTTTTGGAAGAAAGACTGTAAATCATGTATGATAACACTGAAAAATCATGAACAACGTTTGTAAATCCCAATGAATTTAAATCAATTAACAGGATTATAGAAGCAGCAGAAAATAGTGAAACTGAATTCAAATGAGTAGGGAAAAATATATAATATCTGGAATACAGTGTTTTCAGGTGAACATAGAATCATAGAATCGTTTAGGTTGGAAAAGACCTTTAAGATCATCCAGTCCAACCATTAACCTACCATTACCAAGTCCATCACTAAACCAATTAAGGGTAGAGTAGCAATTTCATGTTTCCTGGCTTGGTGGCTGGATTATTTATAATGAAAGTCAAAACTAGGAATCATTAAGATTGGAAAGGACCTCTAAGATCATCATTCCAATCATCAACCCAACACTACCATGCCCACTAAACCATGTCCCAGAGTGCCACGTCTACCCGTTTTTTGAACACTTCCAGGGATGGTGACTCCACCACCTCTCTGGGCAGCCTGTTCCAATGCTTGACTACCCTTTCTGTGAAGAAATTTTTCCTCATATCTAATGTAAACCTCCCCTGGCGCAGCTTGAGCCCATTTCCTCTTGTCCTATCGCTAACTACTTGGGAGAAGAGACCAACACCCACCTCACTACAACCTCCTTTCAGGGAGTTGTAGAGAGCGATAAGGTCTCCCCTCAGCCTCCTCTTCTCCAGGCTAAACAACCCCAGTTCCCTCAGCCGTTCCTCATAAGACTCATTCTCTAGACCCTTCACCAGCTTCGTTGCCCTTCTCTGAAC